TGATATCCGAAAGAGATCATAACTTTCTGAACCTTTCAAAGCATGCTTTTGGAGACTGTTTTAATCCATACAAGGCTTTCTTTAATTTTGCAGGCCTTTTCTTGTGTTCTTTCATTTTCGAATTCAGGTGGAATCTTCATGTATACATTTTTCTCTAAGAACCATGGAGGAAATTATTTTTTACATCAAACTGACGTAAATTTTCAATCAAAATTAGCAACACAGGATAATAATATTCTGATTGTGTTCGTTTTTGCGACAGGTGCAAAGGTTTCTCGATATACAATTCCATAGATTTGAGTATACCCTTTAGCCACTAGTTTAGTTTTGTATCTTTCAGTCGACTCATCTGTTTTGTGTTTTACAGTGAACACCCACTTATAACCGATCATCCTTTTTTCTTGTGGAGTTGAAACTAGCTCCCATGTTTTATTTTTTACCAATACTTTCATATCTTCAATCATTGCTTCCTTCCATTTGGGATCTTATAGAGCTTCTCTCTAATCATGCGTAATAGACATAGAGAAAATAGATAAGATAAAAACTCTATAGGAGGGAGATAGAGAGTCATAGGAGATAAAGTTAAATATATGATATTTAGTACAAGTTCTGATTCCTTTTTTAAGAGTAATGAGTTAAGTACAAGTTCTGATTCTTTTTTTAAGAGTAATAAGTTTATCAGATAATTCACAAGGTAAAGATGACTCATTAGTATCTTCTGGAACTGAAGAAGATTTTTGACTTGAGATAAACTGCATGATGATTTTTTCTGTCTTATTTCTCGTTGAATATCTCTTCAAGTTCGATTTATTTAGTCGTCTAACATTTTCTTCTTGAATAGGATCTTCTGATATGAAATTCTCCCTTTGAATATGACTGTCAAGTGTGACCAAATTGGGCATCAGCTCTTCCATTTCATTCTCCTACTGAAGAGGTGTTGGGGTGGAGTTGAAGTATGCTTCAAATTCTCTAAAAGTAACATCCGTAGTCACAATTTCCTATATGGCGGATGATAACACTTGTAACCCTTTTAAGTAGGAAAATATTCCACAAATGCACATTTGAGAGCTCTAGGCTTTAGCATGAATAAAACAAACACATCGAAACACTTTAGAAGGAACAATATAGGAATTTGTATCTTGCAAAACTTGCAGAGAACTTCTAAAATCATGAACCCGTAAATGCATTTTATTAATAAGATAGACAGCTGAGAGAACTGCATCTCCTTAATATTTTTTAGGTAGATTTATGATGAACGTTAGTGACCGAACTATCTTCAATATGTGTTTATTTTTTCTTTCAGCAACTACATTCTATTCATTGGTGTAAGTACAACTTGTTTGATGAATTATCCCATTAGACTCTAAGTAGACACGGAATTCACCATTCATATATTTTGTACTATTATCTGTTTCTAGAATTTTAATTTGAGTATCTTGTGTATATACCATTTTATAAAATGATAGACAACATAGAAACACATCGCTTTTGGCTTTCAACAGATAAATCCATATTAATCTAGTATAACAGTAAATGAAAGTAACAAATCATTTATGGCCAGATAAAGATGTATTCTGCGTAGGTCTCCAAACATCAGAATGGATGGTCACAAAAGGAGTAGGATTTCTATGCTTACTCACATGATATGAACTTCTTCTAGGTTTAGGTAACTCACATACATCACAAAATAAAGAATCCATTAAAGTTTTTTTTAAAAAATATGGATATAATTTTCCTAGAGTAAAGGAAGAAGGATGTCCTAACCGTCGCTGCAACTGTAGGATTTTCCTATTGACATTCGTATCTTTGAAGCCAGCTTGATTCCCAATGACGTTTTGACTTCTATTCAAGACATATAGTCCATCTTGTAGTCTATCCGTGCCAATCGTTTTTCTTATTTGAAGATCTTGAAGGACAAAATAGTCAGAAAAAATTTTAAGTTTACAATTAAGATCTCTAGTAAAAGCATTAATGGATAAGAGACTGTCTGAAAAATTAGGCACATGAAGTACAAAAGTCAGTGGAATGGTCGGAGTACAATTAATGAAACTTGTTTCAGATACAAGAGTGTATGATCCATCAGTGACACAGACATTTTTCCGTTGAGTATGTGAAAAATAGGTAAGAAAATTTTTAAAAAAGTTTGTCATATGTCTGTTAACTTTAGAGTTTATAATCCAAGTATCAGAATTGGATATAGCAGGGAGATGAGCAGTACTTGAGTTTACCATTTTTGACACAACGATAGAAAAAGAACAATACCCAGCTACTAATTTCAATGAGATAGAAAAAAATCCGAATGATGCAAAAAAATGCTCCAACACCAATGGAGAGCAAAAATGTTGCGAGACCGGAGGAGATCACCGGAGACAAATCTCTTCGGCAAGACAGGAGAACCAGAGCCGGAGACAGAGGCAAGCGTGCGTTGCAGGAGGCCAAATCGTGACCAGATTCTGGCCAAAAAACGAGCAGATCTATTGGTGCTCAGCCAGATGAGGTTGCACGACGGAATAGAATAACAATCTCGCGCGGCCGCGTGGAAGACGAAGCCGGAAAACATGACCCGTGCGCGAATGGAGAAACTGCGTGGAGAGCCGTGCACGAACCAAGGCAGATGTGTTGAGAAGATGCGCGAATGGAGAAACTGCGCCAACTGAATCTGTGATGCGCGAACTAAAGCTGTGTGGGTTAGATCGAGCGCGACTTAGAGGAATATGAACCGAGTCTACGATGCACGGCAGAGCGAAGGAGAACCAGATGTTGTGCGGGTCGGGTCGGGCGCAAAACAGAGAGAGATGGCCTACACGAATAAGAGAGATAGCCGAAGGAGAAGCAGCGGCCGGGCAAATAACCGTGCGCGATCGGAGCAAGGGGATCAGGTATGGCAGAGACGCTCACCGGGGAAGGGCAGCAGGCCGGCAATGAGACTAAGACTCCGTTTGGTGGGTGTTGAGAATATTCTAGGGTTTGAAAGAAATCCTAAAAATTAAAACCTCAAAATACCCTTATTTTGCTCTTATATCATGTTGAAATTTAGAGAAAAATATTTACTTTATTTATGTTGTATTTCTAGTGTTACAAATAACTCATATATATATATATAT